CCCCCACCCCCATGCAGCAGGGTCCCAGTTTAGATAAAACCAAGACTGGCCCTAGAGACTTGGACCTGTGACCTGGGAGCTCTCTCTTTGTTTAAGTTGACCAGTCCAAAGTGAGGAGAGGGAGACCTGCCCCATACCAGCAAAAAACACTTAAAAGGCCCAGCCCTCCTGGAGATTTTAGATTTTTTTTTTAGGTTTCCCAGTCCCCTCTTCACTTGTGGAGAGCTTATCTCTTTGTGTGAATGTGTGTATGTGTGTGTTTCTTCATTTTTTTTCTAAATAAAGTCTGTTTGCCTGTTGTTCTCTGCTATGTCTGAGATTTTTCCTGCCTTTTAATCTTTAGTGGAGAAAATAAAGTCAATCAAGACCCCTAGACAACATTAACACCTCCTTCTGAGTTAAAAGAGCTTAGTCTTGTAGGCTGCAACTCAAGGCCTTGGACTTCATTTCAGTCAGGTCCCCATTTAAGGAAGACAGACAATAAGAAACCTCCAGTTCCCAAATTCCATGAATTGACTTCCTGCGGCCTCCTGAATTTTAGAGCATTAACGTAAGGTTAATCAGGAAATATCCCATCTCAATAACTCCACCAAGGGCCAGCTGTTAGCCTTAGACAATGGGATCAGACTTGCTTTGACTCAGCCTACGGAGCCATCAGGAAGTGTTGCTTTTCCCCATGAATGTCAAATGGAGAGATGAAGCCAGGTGTAGTGGTACATACCTTTAATCCTGACACTCAGGAGGCAGAGGCAAGTGAATCTCTGTGAGATCAAGACCAGCCTGGTCTATATAGCCAGACCAACTGGGGCTACTAGGGAGACCCTACATCATAAATTTAAAATAAATAAAGTGAATAAATAAAGTGAATTAATAAAGTGAATAAATAAACCAAAACAAATGAGTGGAGAGGTGATCATGAGGAAGATAGCAGAGCAGCCATGACAGGATGGTGGTGCTGGAGCAGGGCCAGTGCAGGGGAAGCCCTTTTTGAATCTTCATGAATTGCTAGGCTATCTCATTCAACTCAGTAACCTCATGCAGTTACTGAGTGCCTACTAGGTACATAAACCTGAAGTCAGCTCAGATATCAAGAGAAAACCACAGTGAATAAGGAGAGCTATGGCCTGAGCGCCATCTAACTGAACTGGTTTTGCTGCAGAGCCTTAGGTGAACATTACGTCTTGCAAATCCCTACAGAAATCTCTCCATGCTGCCATCATAGATCCCTTCCTTTTTCCCAGGTGTGGGCTGCAAAAGAATGCCCCCACAAGCTCTTTCAACAGCTTTCCCCCTGGGTCCCCCATGGTTTCATTTGCTCTCTCCCTCTTTTTAGTGCTTTGTTTTTGTTTTCCTAAGAGGCTCCCCTTTGCTGTCCAAGCTCTTCCTTGATGTGCCTCACATGACCATAGTCCAGGAAAATTCCTCCCTGATCCTATCCTTCTTTGAGCTCTGTGGGGTTTCCCCCATGTTTCCTAGACTGAGCCACACATTGCACTTGGGGTGGGGGGCGGTGAGACTTCTGGAGGAAGTCCCTTAGCTGAGAATTAGTCCAGACAATGGCCAATTCTTTTAGCGTGGCCTGGTCACTTTGCCAAGAATAATAAAGCAACTGGAAAATGTGCAGCTTTTGAAGATATGAAAGCCCCGTGGGCAGCCAGTCACATGCTGAGAGCTCTGCTTACAGCTGTATTCAGGCAGGTACATTTCTACTTCCACCTGACTGACTAATAATTTAGGGGTTTTTAATATTTATTCTCTCTCTCTCTCTCTTTTTCTCCCCCCCCTCTCTCTCTGTGTGTGTGTGTGTGTGTGTGTGTGTGTGGGAGGTCAGAGGATAACTTGCCTGTGTCAGTTTGCTCTTTCCACTATGTGGGTTCCAGGGATCAAACTCAGGTTGTAATGATTGGCAGTAAGTACCCTAACCTACTGAACCATCTCCTCGCTGGCCCTGAGAGGGTTGGTTCATTTTATTTTATTTATTTATTTATTTATTTATTTTTCTTTTAAGGAAGGGGGTGAGTTCTAAGCCCCACGAAATGGCACCTGTGGTTAGAGTGAGTGTTTGGAGGCAGCCCAGAGTTCCTGAACTGCTAATTAGCAGAAGGGAAGCTAGCTTCAGAGCTTCCTTGCATGCTGTTTGTGAAGCAAAGGTGGGGAGTCGGGCAAAGAACACCAAGCCAATGATTTCTTAGATGCTATGAGGTCAATTTGGTCCCAAACAATCAAGGAAAGCTGTGTGCAGTAAAGCATTCCCTACCAAAGCAGTTGGTTCCAACCCGTGAAAGATTATTGCTGGCACAATCGTTTTGACAGTTAGCAGCTATTAATGCCAGGAAGAAAGCAGGGACCAGAAAGAAAAAGAGATATGGTTCATTTGATGGGATGTGAAGTAGATAGGGCTCAACGCATAAAATGCTGTTGCTCGTGGTCATCCGTACTGTTGTTATGCCCTATCACCCTTCAGAAAGGAGTGAGCTATGGAGGGGCATCTGTGCTAAGCAGAACAGTTATTACCCCCTATAGTGACCTTCCAGGGCCTTCAGAACACCTTTCAAGTCTGCAGCTGCCTTATTTGTTCCATATTATCTGCTTCTCACTCTCACCCCAATCAAAACTGGCTCTCAGAGCAAACACATCTGCCTTTCCCATTCCTGAGTCCTTGGCACTCGAGCAGTGTCTGGCATCTGAACAGCACTCATCAGATCTTAAGAATACTTATAGGAACTATGAGGAAAGTTTCCAGGCCTAGCAGGGATTGCTTTTAACCCACAAACTTGTCTGGTAATCTGAATGAGAAAACTGCAAGAGGTTTGTAGATGAGGCTGTAGGCGACTCCTAGGGTGTCTCCTGGACTAGAAAAGCTTCTTTAAAATGCTGAAGAGTCATCAGCCAGGTGATGGTGCATGAGGGGAGACACTGTGAAACACTGACACCATGGCTTACATACAATAAGCCCATCATAAGTTGAAAATAAATGGAAAATGAATGAGGCATATCTAATTTCTGAACATGCTAGCTTGGTAACGCGGCCAGCCGTGGCGAGTCAGCTGGCCCTCGTGTGCTTTCCAGGCCTACTGGAAGCTGTTATTCTGCTCCCCGTTGCTGCCCAGCATTACAAAAGAATGCAATACCAAATGGCACAAGCTCAGGAAGAGATTCAAATTTGGAACTAGAATTGTGGTATTCAAATTATGCACACAGTTCTCCAGCTATTGTAAAATATAGCTGAGGATGACCTTGAACTTCTGATCATCCTACCTCCACCTTTTGAGTACTGCAATTACCCATGTCTGGTTACATGGTGCTAGAGCGTCAGCCCATGATTTTGTACTGCTAGGCAAGCAGCTATCTACTGAGCTACAGCCCTGGATGCTGCTTTATGATCTTATGACCCACCTATCTCCAGCACTTATATGGATGTGGCCATGTCCCATATTCAGGTCATACAATACATACAACTTGATAGCAAACCTCAGTTTACTTGCCTGTAAAATGGGGGTGATGCTCTTGGGAGGATTTAATGGCCTAGTAGACCTAAAAGGACTTTGTAAAGTGCAGAATACAATTTTGAAGTGATGGATGATGAGGGCAGGAAGTGAGGTGGGGGAAACAAGTACATGGATCAAGTCATTGCCCAGGTAAATCTGCCACCTCTCTACCATGACTCATTCTGGCTGAAAGAGTAGGGTCTCAAGTATGGGGCGGAGGGTTGGGGACTCATGCCTAGTCCTTCACTAGAATTGTCACCAAGCTTCTGAGCATGGTTCTGTGGGGCCCAGTCTACCTTGGTCTGGGTCTCTTGAAGGTCAACTTATGCACAGGCAGAGTGGACAGTACAGGACCCTTGGAAGACCACCATTACTCTCACCTCTATCTCCGTATTATCTTCTGTACTGGCTGAAGGGCCCATTGGCATTCCTCTTAATGAGGTTGGGATGTATTCCATTTATCCTCACTGCCATTGTTATGAATAACTCAATTTACAAGAGCAAGCCCATCTGTTTACTCCTTTGAGTGTTATTTTATTTCCACTGTGTGTTTAAGGAAACTGAGATTCTGGGAGACTGATTCCTGCAAGCCTCCTTAGTTAGTGAACCTCAGAGCTGAATTCATAACCAATTATCTGATCAAAGCTTCTAGAAGCCACTCATTGATGTGAGCAAGAATTCCATAGTGAGCTAGAAGTTGTGCCCTCAGAAAGCAGGTGGCCCTAGCCCAAAGGGATGGGAACAGTGAGTTTTGAAAGGAAAGGGGAGAAAATGGGTTGATTCAGAGAGTAAGTGGTAGACTTCAGGGAGGAGAGGAGGACAGGGGAGGAGGAACAGACTGCAGCCCCAGAGCCTGGCCTACTCAGAGCGTTTGTTCTGGGTTGCATCCTCCCTTACATGGAAGAGACAAGTGTGGCAGAAGGAGCACCTTACAATAATGGCTCTGGGGAGAAAAGGATCAGAGAAGATGCTAGCCAGGTCCAGGAATGACTGCCCTGCCTCCTTTCCAACAGCAACAGTGTGGGGTAAGGCTGTTACCTTATCCTACAAGAATCACTCTTGGGGACTTTTGCACTGCTCCCTGGCTGGGGAATGTGAGGTAAAATGCCAAGCTGGTTTCCTACCACACTGGTCTGCTGGCTTCTTCCTCTGCCTTCTCCCCTCCTCGACAACCCCAAGACTGGCCAGCTGCCTGACCCAGTACTGATGGTTCCTATAACCTTCACGATCCTCATTACTAAAACAAGGAGATTGTTAGACAAAGCCGTGCCTAAGCACACACACTCTTCTAGAGGACAAATATCAAGGACCCATTTAAGCAGAGTAAACAAAACCCAGCATCCCTCAGAAAAATGGTTAGGGTGAGGTTGGCAGCAAGTTTTATTTGGAAGCATGGAGAATTTCCACTGCCAACATGCTCCTTCCCTGGACATAGTTTTACTGGTCTTGATCTGAAGCAAGCTCCACCCCTGTCCTCCAGTCCCTAGTTGATTCTGTGGCTGTGACCCATACCTCTGTGGTCCAAAGGCCATTCTGTTTCTGGGTCAGAGGGCCTGAGCTGAGGCTCTGGGAGTTTGGGCACTGTGTCCCACAGTTCATCTTCTTCTCTGGGTTGGTTATTCCACCTGGGACAGCAGATCGGGGCACACCATTAGACGACAGTCCATCTTCCAGCACACCTGGGGAGGCAAGGAGATGATGGTATGAGAGGCTTGCACGGGGCAGGTATTATAAGCAATCCCAAGATGGTGGAGAAAAAGTAAGTCAAAAGCAAAAAGTCACCAGAAATTCTACCATGCAGAGCTTTTTCCATAATGATACACGTATTTTTTTTCATAAAAATGAGATTTAAAAAATAATTTTGTAACTTGACATTTTCACTTAATACATTAATGATAATTTTTCCATGCCAGTAAACATTCAGCCTTGTTATTTTTCACATATCTGTTGGTTGTATGGATGCACTGCCGTTGAAACAATCCTCTCTAATTGGACGTTTGTTTCCAGATTCTAATAATAAACACTACTGGGATAATACTCCTTTTGACTAAAACTTTATTTTTAGTTGCTTCCTTGGAATAAATTCCTAGAAGTAAGACTACTGGCTTAAAGGTTAGACAGAGATCTTTTTTCCATCTCCAACTGTTGAACTGACAAGTGTGTTTCCCATAGCAAATGCCAAGAAATACAGAAATTTAAATAAGGAGCCTCACTGAAGAGCAAGAAGAAGATGACAGGGAAATTCATGAAGGATCAAAAGCGTCTGACCAGAAAAAAAAGGGTCGAAGGAAGCGCATAGGGGGCCTACCAAGGGGCTGGAGACACAAACACTGAGGCTCTGCAGGAGCCATGGGGAGGAGGGAGCAGCCAGCCAGGGCTCTCACTCTCCTCCAGCAGCCTAGACCAGATGGCCATCAGGGGTTTGGCTCAGAACACGGTGGTGCACTCAGGGGCATTGAATTTCACTTGCAAGACTCAAATTCAAATATAAAATGACTAAGCATTTCAAGATGGCCTCTACAGAGCTTTGAATCCAAACCAGGGCCTTCCTGAGTCCAACAAGCCCTGTGTACCATATTGGGTGCACCATGCAACCAGCCCTGCAGGCAGCCCTGCAGAGGCAGGCCTGCTGTGGCTGAGAAGCAACAGAATCAGCTCTTTCCTCTCAGCAGCCCCTTTATTCCCCAGCATCTTTACTGAGCCTCGAGGCTTCTAGAAACAGTCTGAAAATTTCTCATTTGGTTCACTGGCGGCTAAACTCACATTTATAGTTCTGATTTCTTAACCAACAATTCAAGATCAACTTTGTAAATTTACGTCCTACTTTTAGACAAATGAGGGAAGGGAGAAGAGAGTTGCTTTTAATCTGCTTCTTCTCAATTACCTTTGAAGGAGAATAGAAGATAGATTATTTTAAATTAAGCTGATAATCAGGGAAGGAGGCCCCAGACTATTTCCAGGTAAATTCCAATTACTTTTACTTTCATCCAAGATGGCCTACCTCCAGGTTCTTGTCCCAAGTTGGCCCTTGTGGTAGGCTCCGTCTAGCAGGAATTTCAAAATTTGACCTTTGCTTTACCCAGTCAGGTTCCTGCTTTCCTATGAGTGGACCAACCAGAAGCATGCGTCCTGCCTGCCCTGTCCAATCCAAAGGGGGAAAGAGGAGCTGAACCATGTCCCATGTCCTACCTTATAAACTATAAAAGCCTAGACTTTCTAGGGCAGTACACAGTGTTCCAGCTCTGGACCGCCTCGCCTTGAGGGGAGTCTTTCTCTTTGTGATCTATGTGGAGTGTTACTTTTGCTTTAATAAACATTGTGTCGTGACTATAAACTTCTGGTCTTGTAATTCTTTTTTAAAAATTTTTATTCATTATTTTTATTTTATGTGTATGAGTATATCCACCTGCATGTTTGTAAGTGCACCTGTGTCATGCAATGCCCGAGGAGGTCAGAAGAGGGCATCGGATGCCCTGGAACTGGAATTACCAACTTTTGTTAGCTGCCATGTGGGTGTTGGGAATGGATCCTGGGTCCTCTGCAAGAGCAGCCAGTGTTCTTAACAACTCTGAGCCATCTTTCCAGCCCTATAATTCTTTACTTGGCAAATGAACAGACCCCAAGAAGAGACCCCCAAGTGACATTACCTTCAGTCCCAAACCATCCTTATGCCAAAGTAGCATATTCTAGTTTTCCATATAGGTATGTCCCTGGATGGTGAAAAAAAAAAAGTTATTTTCTTCATGCATTTCTGTATTTACACATTTTCTAAGATTTGATATTTTTTCAAACTAGAGAATATAAGTTAAATTAAATCCATACAGCAAAAACAGTGAGTTGGTTGCTGACCTCCTGGGGTGACCGCTTGATCACACTGAGCAGATTACATCTGGTCACTGTTTGATGGTGCTCCCTGGGCTGGCATTGTTTCTAAAGCTTGTCATCAGAGCTTCACTTTATGTATCGGGCTCAGTAGACCAGTGGTTAAGCACTTAGCTGATTGTGTGACTCATAAGACAAGAATGTAACTAACATGGCTAATGAGAGGGGCATGAGGAAGAGAAAAGACAGCTGGTGTTGGGCCACAAATAAGGACACTGTGCCAGACACTGATTCTATGAATGTTGTCCTGCTTAATCCTTACAGTAGCCCTGTGAACTAGGAATCATGGTTCCCACTTCATAAATGAAGAGACCCCTGTATTGTGCTAGATGCTGGGCTCTATCTGCATGTCTGTTATTTATCACTGTCTCCCCACTCAAGCCTGGAGGTGGGAGAATTATCCTTATTTTGTAAGAGAAGTTGAAGTTTAACTCTAAACCCATGTGTTTCTAAAGCTTGTGATATAAACAAGATTTCCTCTTAGGAAAACTCCTAAGTAGGCAGTTCTCAATTTTAGTGTAACATGAGACCCATCGGGGTTTCTTAAAATGCAGATCCCAATATCCATTTCCCCAGAGTTTCTGATTCAGTAGGGGCTCAGGAACATAGATTTCTGAAAGTCCCCCTAGATTCTGAGGCAGAGAGTTTTAAAGACTCCAAAGGCTCATTATATTATGAATACATATATAGCTAGAAACAGACCCATTTATCTATGTCTGACAGATTAATACTCATGCTATTTTGAGGGTTATATACAAAATAACTCATCTATATTTTTTCCACAGTGACTTCTAGACTAGTATAACAAATTAAGAGATTAAATTCGTGTGCCCCTTAAAATTTGTATGCCCTTGGAGTGTGTCTTTTTGACACCTTCCACAAAATTTTCATCCCATCCAAGAGACAAGCCAAATCACCGACTGCCAAAAAATGGCAAACAGCTGTGCCAGTGCTTGACCAATGCAACCAGTGACTTCTTGCCAAAACATCTTACTATTTCAGGAATGAAGCTGAGCAGGAGGGCAGAATATAGAACTTTTAAGCAGTAGCTTGGAACCACATGGAGAACAGGTTTGCTCCTTAACCCCAGCACCTGGCTGTTCCTGGTGAAGGTGATCAGAGAGTCTGTCCAAAGTCATAAGAAAATGACTGCATGATAGTCCCCTCAATGACAGGAAATGAGAGAGTAAGACAGTGATAATATATTTGGGAAGAATCTCTAATGTCACATCAGATGGAACTCTAGCTCATCAAGCCCTGTCTGGGATGAAATCCAGAACACATGGCCAATGATAATTTTGTCTCAACTGAAGTATAAATTAAATTATGACTACTCAACCACTTACACAGTTTGAATTCTCATTTTCAAAATGAACTAGAATAAGAAAATGTCTTCTATTTCTTTAATCAGATGAATGATTGACTACATACTGTGTATAATATGATATGTAACCTTTTGCATAGCTATTATAAGATATCCTTACAAAATGTTGATTAACCCTTACATTCATGATCAATTGATTTCGTACAAGGATGCTAAAATAATTCAATGGGGAAAAGTAATTTCTTAACAAAAACACTAGAGATCTATATGCACAAAAATGAAGTGGATCCCCTTCCTCACACCCTACACAAAAGATAAATCAAAAGCAATTGAAGAAGGACAGAAGAGATGGCTCAGCATTTAAGAGCATTGGCTATTCTTACAGAAGACTCAGGTTCAGTTCCTGGCGCCCACAGGCAGCTAAAACCTTCATAACTCCAGTTCTGGGATCCAAAGCACACTTCTGTCCTTCACAGGCATTACATGAATGTGGTGTCCTTATACACATGCAGGGAAAATAGTCACACACATAAAATTACAATAAAAAATTTAAAAGGGAATCAAAGGGGGCTGGAGAGATGGCTCAGTGGTTAAGAACACTGGTTGTTCTTGCAGAAGATCCGGATTCTAATCCCAGCACCCACATGGCAGCTAACAACTGTCCGTAACTCCAGTTCCAGGGGATCCAACAGTCTCTTCTGTTCTCCACTGGCATTGCAAGACACAGGTACACTTACCTAGATGCAGGCAATACATGCATACATGTAAAATAAAAATAAAAAAGGAATCAAAGATCTAAATTTAAAAGCTAAAACTATAAAATACCTTTTAATCATAAGTGGCAAATCTTTGTGATGTTAGGATAGGCAATAGTTTCTTAAAAATGACCCCTAAGTACAAAAAACAACAACAACAAAATCCATAACTGGACCCCATCAAAATTTGTACTTCGAAGAATGCCATAAAGAAAATGACAGGATAATCTACAGAATGGGAGAGAACTTTTAAAAATGATATGCTTAGTAAGGGACTGCTACTCTCAAAGAACTCTTGCAATTCAATAATAAAAAGATAAATAACCTAATTAAAGCATGTGTGAAGGCTCTGAACAGACACTTAGACAAAGAAGATGTGTATGTAAATGGTCAATAAACACAGGAAGAGATCTCACCATCATTCACTACCTGAAAATGAATATCAGAAACCATGAGAAGTTGCCACTTTGCACCAAGATGACTATGATTGAAAAAGAAAGAGAATAAGTGTTGATGAAGATGTGGAGGATTTGGAAGCCTTCTACATTGCTCCTGGGGATGTGAAGTATAGCAACTGCTTTCTATCCATCAGATTTTCAAAAGGTTAGACACAGAGTTATTGTGGCCCAGCAATGTCATATCTAAGTACACACCTAAGAGAAACAAAAACATCCACACAAAAACTAGTACATGAATGTTTGTGATGGTTTATCTAGAT